CAGACAGGCAAATAGAGAGATAGATAGACGGGAAGACAGACAAGTAAACATATAGACATTCTTCCTTTCTTGTGTTCATTATCACAACCTGTAAAGTGTTCTCATTCACCCCTTTGTCTTTGGTCCAACAGCGCAACTGTTTATCGTTTAAAATCAGATACGGCTTTCAAAACAAGCCTCGTCTCCATCTCCCTTCTCACGATTTTTTTTCCGACACCCTAAAAAAAGAAAACCCGGCGACAGGTGGCCAGGGGCTTTATCTCCGTCAGCCGTTTATCAAGCCTGACTGCAACTGCCTGGACGAGCGACCTTGCGCCCCGCGACCTGTGGGAGGCGAGGCATCTGCCTCCCCCCTAAGATTGTGTCCGTCTTACGGAGAGTTGTGCATATATGTATATATGTATATATGTATATATATATATATATATATATATATATATATATATATATATATATATATATATATATATATACATATATACATACACACACACACACATACACACACACACACACACACACACACACACACACACACACACACACACACACACACACACACACACACACCTATATATATATATATATATATATATATATATATATATATATATATATATATATATGTATTCATATATACATACACACACACACACACACACACACACACACACACACACACACACACATATATATATATATATATATATATATATATATATATATATATATATATATATATATATATATATATATATATATATATATATATATATATATATATATATATATATATATATACATACATATATCTATATCTATATCTATATATATATCTATATCTATATATATATATATATATATATATATATATATATATATATATATATATATATTTATATATATGTATACACACATATATACACATACATATATACATATATATGTATATATATATATATATATATATATATATATATATATATATATATATATATATATATATATTCATACCTTACCAAACCGAATGTTCAAGCACAAGAAGCAAAAGACTTGCATATTAAATTCCCCTTTTTGCACAAAATACAACCATCCTAATGAGTGATAATCCCCTCCTCCTGCCGCAGATCAACTGGGAGGCGGAGGAGGTGCAGGAGGGCGACTGGATCGGCGTGTTTGAGCGGAACCCGAAGGAGCCTCCTGCAAGATCGGCCGAGTCCTCAGCTCCTGACGATGGGGCTCCGGGCATTGGCGGCGCGATCCTTTGGGAGATGCCGCGGCCTCTCTTCTGGGACACGCCCTTCTCCACGAGCGGCAGGCTGACTACCAACGTCTCGGAAACTCGGCCTGAGGTGGGCGTGGTTGTAGGTGTGTGTGCGTGTGTGTGTGTGTGTGTGTGTGTGTGTGTGTGTGTGTGTGTGTGTGTGTGTGTGTGTGTGTGTGTGTGTGTGTGTGTGTGTTTATGTTGTCATTTTAGGTAAAAGGATGGTGCACGTATTTTTGTATATGAGTTTTAATATTCCTGTTAAAAATGATTTCATCATTTCATTATATTCACATTACTTACTGCATAATCCATTAACACTAAAAGCTAAGTGGTGAAATGTGATTTTTTTATATGCAAACTCTTTCACATACACACACACACACACACACACACACACACACACACACACACACACACACACACACATTGTTCATAACGGTAAATCATCCCATTAGCTTCAACTTGTCCAAAGCAGGGGTGTCAAGCTCAAAAAGCTTCGCGGGCAATTTTTCCTTTCAGCTCCATCTTGAGGGCCAACAAAGGATTAAAAATTACTTACCTATATGTATTTGTTTCGTATCCTAGATTTTAAATGGTAATGCTAATGGTGACAAAATCTATTTGGCTTTATTTTCCATCATACTGATCACAAGTTTACGGTTCATTTGATTCTTGTCACCCTACTTGTAACCATTCCGAAGGCCAAGTTTAGTCCGCGGGCCATGAGTTTGACATCCTTGGTTATGGTAACGTGGCATCGTAAGCCTATCTGACGTCTCCTCTCCCTTACACTCCCACAGCTTGCCGCGTTGGCTATGGGCGGTTGCGTCGGTCACTGGGTGGGATACGTGCGCAACGGGCTGTGTGTGGCAGCCCAGTGCCTCGCCGCTCACCCACAGTGGCTTTGGGATAACAAGTAGGTCTGAGCAAGGGCTGGCGGGGAGAGCGAGTCGGAAGAGAGGACCGTGTGATAAGAAATGTTTTGTTTCTTTCATGTGATTTGTTTCCTAGCATTTTGGTTAAAGGCTAATTCATTTCTGAAATATATTGGACTTTTCAAAAAATCTATTTCACACAGACTGTTCTGAGTAAGTGCAACTCGATGTATGTACGTCGAGAGACAACTAATACACGTCTGCTTCTAATTTTTGCCATCGCTTTTCACCCAACCGAATGACCTCTGACCTCCTAACCTGGCCTTTCCCAGAGACGTGCTAGGATCCCGTTCCCTGA